TCATCGCCCTGATGATGGAGGCAGTATGACCGCTGAGACGTTGGTGGAAATTTACCAAACTATAAGGCGCAATAAGCCAGGAGACAAAAATCTTCTGACTTACCGCTGTGAAAACCTCAAATCCTGCAGTGCCCAAATTATTCCTAATTTTGTTGTGGTCTTCGACATACTAATTTAAAAAAAGCACGTAGATAGTCTTAGGCCTATTACTACGGTAAATGCCAGTCTCTAAGCACTGTATGCAGAGCTTAATTCTTGCTTGTTTCCGATAATCCAGGTTTTTTTAAAAAAATATTCCTCCAATTTTAGACTCCACTATATCAATTGAATATCGTCGTCTATCATAATTACAACTATCTTCGCTTTTCAATTTCAAAACCAACTCTTTCGAAAGGCTCATTATTCTTACTCTGTTAATAAGCTTTATGTTAAGGCGATCATTTCAGGGAGAATGGTTTGGCATGTAACACGCAGGAAGAGGTCAGTAATAAATCTACCTCTTAAATTTTTGTCGGTAAGTCCCCAGAAAGAAATCATGTGAGAGACCTATACTTGGTAGGCCTTCACAGCCTGTAAGTTTAGTTGGAAGATCGAGCTTTTGTGAAATAGGTAATGAACTTTGTGGTTTACTAAAAATAGGAAATGTTTTGTCCTGCTGAGTAACTATAGACTTTTTAAGGAAGGCTCTGCGTTTAATAATTAGAGGATATTCTCGCAGTAGCCTATAGCCAACTACAGAATAAGCGTTTTGATTTGGACCCCTTGTAATTAGGCAAAACATCTACAGTAGTACGATGTAATGTGGTGAATTACGTGGTGTACTTTTTCTGAATTTAATTAAGCCTATCGTCTCATTTTTTAAAGGGATAGAATATATTATGATCTGATTGAGCTGTAGAAACTTACTTTCTCGTGTCAAATTTATTGAAACTGTACAGCCCTGCTTCCAATTTATTTTTTGGCTCATATACTGGATAGGGGAAGAGCGAGGGCACATTCTAACTATTCATTACTTTGTCTTTGTAAACTAGAGTGCGCCACTGCGATCAATGAAACTAGTGTCACAATGGTATTGACAGAACGCTGTAAAACTTTATCGTATATTTGCTGTGTCCAATGTTTTTCGTATTAAATAATTTGGGCCGAGTCTGTAAATTTTTGAGTGTTCTTTCCAATATTCAATACGTTGTCAGAGTGCGACACAGCAGAAGCGTAACTCCATTAAAAGCGTCTTAAATGTGTTCTTAATCCACGTCTCTCTGTCCTTCCTCTAACGCATCATTTCCGCAAGGAGATCAATTTTATCTACAAGAGTGACGCTCTGGTAGAGTAGAACTGAACTTTGACTGGCTCCAAAAAGTTCTTTGTTTTAAGTTGTTTCAAAATGTATTACCGAATGTTTTAATGATCTGAATAGGCCTTCTTTGCTAAAACAAAAATATATGCTGTTTATAAATGCAATAGAATAATTTTATTTATAATTACAATTATTTTATTCGTTTTCTTTGTTTTTTTTTCAATTTTCCTACTGGTTTGTAGTGGGCCTATGACAATTAAACTAATATTTTAAACATCATCGCGTGGTTTATAGGTAGCCTATTTGCAATAGGCAAACGTATTTAATAATATAAGTTTTATTTTAATTTTCTGATAACTCACACATTTGAACTAACATCTTCGCCACATTATTATTAATATTATTATCAACATTATCATCATATGTTATTTGCAGAGACTTTGATATGTTTGAAACAAAAAATTGCTACACTTAAGTCACATTCAACAATAATATAATTTACTTAATTTATTTAAATTATTATACTGATGTATTCAGTATCAGTTTACCTTTGTGTATTAACACACAGCGCACTAATAATAACGAATGGAATTTAATCTTCATCATTAGAAAGGCAAAAGCGTCTTAGTTACAAACTACAGACTCATTTCGATCTTAAATAATTTTTCACCTTTCCTTCAATTTAAAATTTAAGTCACATCCTAGTCAGAACGGTTTTATTAAATCACAATCTACGATAAACGAATTTAGTTACTTATCTAAACGATGTTCTACCATCTGTCTGCTCACAGGAACAAATTGTCTGTGATATTTGAACTAAATTGGAGACTTTGACTTTTAATGGCAAAAACTTTTTTTTTGCGCGTGAGGTATTGATTCGACGAAATTTGTCTATATTTGCTATGTTGAATTCTTGTTTCTGCTTTCACTGAGCCGACATTCCTTTCAGTTCATGATGACGTCGGATTCCAACTCGTCGTCTATGTCAGAGTGTAGGCCTACGCCTCCCCCCCCCCCCCCCCCCCCACGGGTGCCATGCACC